GAGTGAGTGAGTGAGTGAGTGAGTGAGTGAGTGAGTGAGTGAGTGAGTGCATGAATGGTTGTTTGTCTCTATGTGGCCTTGTGATGGACTTGCTCTGTCTATCACACAATGACCACAGAGGTTATAAGCACCTACCACACAATTATTATTGTTATTATTTTTAATGACCCTAGACATGGCAGCACTGTGTGGCACAGATGGTAGAGCTGTTGTCTCTCAGCAAGAAGGTCGCCGGAACAAATTCCGACCGGGGGGAGGGCATTCTAGGTGGAGTTAGCATGTTCTCTCCGTGCAGAGGTGGGTTTTCTCCAGGTACTCCAGTTTCTTCCCACAGACCAAAAACATGCATGTTAGGTGACTCTAAATTGTCCCTAGGTGTGAGCGAGAGTGAATGGTTGTTTGTCTCGTTTGTCCCTATGTGTCCCTGTGATGGACTGGAGACATGTCCAGATTGTCTCCATCCTCGTGTACAGTGACTGCTGGAAATGGGCACCAGTGACGCCTGTGACCCGAAAAGGAAGAGGCAGGCAAAAGAGAATGAATGGAAGGACTCTAGAAGAACTCAGAACAACATTAAAGGTGCGTTTCAACTGAAGAAAACATCTTTGGGAACAGAGAAGTTACATTTCTGAATTTTAATGTTTTCGCCCTCGGACTAAAACAAATTACCTGGGTAGAAATCTACCTAAAACATTATCTGTGTAAGTACATAGTAGTTTTGAAAACATCCAGAACTTTCAAGGTGATGAGAAAGTGCCAAACAATTGTTGAGTATCCCCAGTATTCCCATCAATCCATTAAAATGTGCATATGAATGACATGGAACTGTTGCCCGTGTGTGTGCATGTGTGTGTGTGTCCATGATAAATGTTCCATCGTGGCAGCTTTAGTGTTTCTTATTTTAAATATTTGACTTCTCCTTGGGCTTTTTCTCATTGTTTGGGGTGATTTTTTATTTTTTTAATTATTATTATTATTTTGTTTTTATGCTTTACTGTGCAATCACTGAAAAATCATTAACCACTTTTGAAATGATCCAGCAACTATTTTTTTTCATAGATGTGTTTTTTGTTTGTTTGCTTGTTTTAGTTATTTATTTATTTTGTGTGTGTGTGTGTTTGTTAATTATGCCAGAGCACACAATACTCGGAGGGATAAGCATTTAGAAAATGGCAGCATACAAATTTCCAAAAGTACACAGTGGAATACTGCAGCAAATTTATGAACATTTACCTACACACACACACAAAAAAAAGAATGAATAAATAAAAACCTATTACATTATTTTCCCAACTAGTGTTTGGAAATATGCTTCTTCAAATAAAAGAATGACACACAGATGCAATTAACAACCAGGAAGGGTGCCACCAGTGGTAAAATCGGTTATGGCACAGCCTCAGTTGTTGACAAAGGTTAGCTCACAGAGGAGCTCTAAAATATTATTTCGGTACACTCGCACATTTTAATTTGAGCTACAGACAGTTAACACCCACCTTGGAAGCTCATGTTGATTCCAGAGGGAATAGTGTTTCCCAGCATCACAGCAGAGGGGTCAATAATGATTTCTCGACTTCTGCCTCGTGATCCTGTCACCTCCCGTTGTCCACCACCACCATCAAGCCTCAGCATCATCTCGTTGTCATGGCGATCAAAGAGGACCTCATGCCATTCACCATTGTCCAGACGGTAGTTGGGTAACGTTAGGTTGTAATCTCCATCCCCAAGGTTGTAGAAAACACAAAGGAGGCCCTGAAAGATCTGCAGAGGTGAAAAAAAAAGCTAGTTAGGACATTTTATATTTGATTGTGTTAGGCCTAGTTAAATTGTATAAGTTTTTACAAAAAATCTTCTGTAATTTGTTATTACAGTATTTTGCTAGATGGCAATGTCAAATGTGTAATCTAAATTATAGTTTGTTTTAATAAGTAAATACCTTTAAATAAAAACACAAGTTCTATGTCGTATAGGCTTCGCCCTGTTTTGGCATGTACAAAAGAAAAACACTTGTATACATTAGAAAACAACAACTGATGTTTTATTTATTTTTTCCACCCCTGGTAAAGGCATTCATTTAAATACTATGCAAGTTCAAACAATGACAATTTAATATGTCTTGTATCTATCATAATAGAGCAGCAACAGAAAAAACAAACAAACAAAAAAAACATTTATTACAAAATATGTGTCTATGAATTATTTAGTTGATGTTTGCTTACTGATCATTTTAGATAAATTTGGTCATTACAAGAGAAATTCATCTGAAGAGCAGGTTTAGGAGCAGTGCCAACAGTTTCTCTTAAACCTGTAAATCAACCCCTCATTTCCACTTTCTTTAATTCTCTCAGAAACCCCACTTCCAGCCTCTCAAAGTTCTATTTGAATCTGTTTTCTCATCACTTTTCTTTAAATTAATGCTCAACGCAGATTAATTGATGGTAGTTGGTGATTTTAAATGTGTGCAGCTCTTGAAAATAACAGCTTTAAAAATTGAATAGATATATATATTTTTTTGGCTCAATTGTCCCCTTTCAAATAAACATGAAGAATTTCAATAAGCCTGGAAATATCATCATTCATCAAACAAGAACAAGAAAAATTGCAGCTTTCTTTTCAGCACTGCAGCCAGACAGAGTTATAATGCTGCTGCTCAGTGTAGTAACTATTTTATGATATCCATATCAAAATTATTATTAAAAAAATATCACCATCTGTCTGACAACTGTCACAGACATAAATACAACAGCTGAACTAGCTTAGGGTCTGATTTGAGCTAGCCTCTCTCCCATAAATCTATCTAAGTTGAAAGTCAAGTGATCACATGTCAACACCACCAGACACGGTTCTTTTAATTAACATTTCCATATGAAATCTGATCAATTTAACCTAATTTATAGGCTACATGCTCCTATATTTAGCCAATACTTTCATTTTCTATTGGTATTTTATGCAATTAAAGATATATCTCAAAATCTAGACATTAATTAATATGCTAAAAATATATATTTGGTGAGGTTTTGAGTAGATCAACACATAAAACAAAATATGTGAACATAAGAATTTTCTTTATATTTGGTGTGAAAGTTGATAGGTCTTTGTTTGCTCAGTAAGGTGAATGTTTTCATAAATTTATTACAAAAAGGACATTTGCTATTGTAACCAAAATATCAAGTTTATATCCTATTTATCTAATATCCAATTGCATACTAATTATTGGTTTAAAAAAAAAAAAACATGTTCACAGTGCTTCTCTTTGATTTTCACCAAATATGTGCACACAACTATCACTTGTGACCCGTTACAATAAACAGCACCAAACACCCAGGGCTGAGACTAAACATAACTGTGAAACTATTTAGGGAAAAACAAAAGGCACTGCCCATTGTGACACCAATCCTACATGACAAACATTAGCATATGTGGCACAGAACCAACAGTCACAAGAGAAGCCATGACAGTGTCACACATTTCAGCTGACATGATTCAACTCTAATAATGCCACACATTATTACAGGAATGCACAAAGATTTCCAACATTAACAAGATATTAGTAACAAATACAATACAGAGACATTAGACTTCCCCTGGTTATAACAGAAAAGCAGTTCAACCATATGGGGATATACTTTTTAATTATCAGACACAGTAGGATAAATAGGCGGTAGTTATAAAACAAATCTTGACAAACCATAAAGAGTCAAAGACACTTACTATGATTCTACTATAATTCTAATATGCAAGTTTTAGGGTCTCTTCCCAACGTGGCAAAGCTAAACGTTAGCTGAGAGTTGCTAGGCAAATCCTATATCACATCTGAAACCAACAGAAAAGTCATTTTATGGAAATACCTACAATAGTCCCTCGTTACTTTGCGGTTTGACTATTGCGGTGTTTCAAAGTAAGATTGTACACGAGGGAAAAAGAAAAATTGTACACGACACATGATTTTCAACTTTAATATCACTCACGTGATTGGGACAGTACTGGATACTGTACAGTAAAAAAAAAAAAAAAAAATCTAAAAATAAAATACTTCGGACAGGCGCCACCATTTTGTACTTTTCTCTCAATAAGCCTACACTGCATTGCTGCTCATAACATTTCATAACTCACTACATTTCCCAGAAGCCAACAGAGCCCTGCCCAGATGTCCAGTTGCCTTCAGCTGAAATACTAGAGGGAAAGTTTTAATCTGATCTGAAAAAAGTTCAGTCATTTACAGTGACTTTGGAGCCCAGAAGATTCAGAGAGCCGCACGAAACTGGACCAGAACCGGAGCAGAACCGGATCCCCAGACCCATTGGCAAACCCAAGAGATGGTAGCCAGCCCACAAGGACTACCAAGCAGGGACGCTCAGCTGTAGGTCTAGCGTTCTCTTTGTAGCACACCGGAACTTTTTCATCCAGATTTGGACTCAATTTTGGCCTGTGCTGACAATCCAAAGGTTCACCCACCACCTACAAATGTGCTTTGGTGCTCAAGGGTTGCACAGAACTAGACCTAAAGACCCATTGGTGAACCCAAGAGCTGGTAGCCAGCCCACAAGAAATTCTGAGCAGGGATGCACCGCTGTAGATCCTGCAGACTCTCTGGAGCCCACAGCCACTACCCTGAACCAGAGAGTCAACCAGAACCGTCAGGGAACCAAGTCGGAGCAGAACCGAGCCGCTGCTGTTCTGAGGGCTTGTTTGACAACATGCTGTGCTTGGAAGTTTGGCATGAGGCGCTGTCTGCCAGATCCCAGGCTCAAACCTTATAACTCAGTGTCTGGTGAAGTTTGATGGTCTCACAATAGCCTTTCACTGAGAATAAAGTCTACATGACCAACTATGTGTACTAATGCTATGTTTAATGCTTGTGTATGATGTATGCAATATGCAGCATATTGCAATCAATCATGGTGAAAAAAACAAGACAAACCAGGATGTTTTTATTGAGAACTATTTCCTTTTTAAGACAAAAGTTGTATTTATCATTATTTCATCCATCCATCCATCAATTTATTATTGTTACCCATTTCTTCCTTTTAGGGTTACGGGGGTCACTTGTGACCATGTCCAGCAGTTATTTTGTGAGAGGTGGGGACTGAAAAAGTTCTCCAGTCCATCACAGGGACACAGAGACAAACAAGACAAACAACCATTTAATCTCTCACTCACATCTGGAGACAATTTAGAGTCACCAATCAGTCTAACATGCATGTTTTTGGTCTGTGGGAAGAAACCAGAATACCTGGAGAAAACCCACGCATGCATGGGGAGAACATTCAAACTCCACCTGAAAGGCCCCCAGCACATTTTTCACTTCTTCCTCCAGATCTGGTGACCTTCTTGCTGAGAGGCAACAGCTCTACCCACCGTGCCGTTTATCATTTGACCACTAATATTCAACTACAGAGAACCACCTACAGTGCTTCCAAGGTACAATTCAAACAACTCACTCAACCTCTTTGTTTGTGGAATATTTATTTTATTTATTTTTATTGACCCTTTATTTATACAAGGAGTCTCATTGAGTCAAGAGAACTCATTTTCAAGAGAGATCTGTTTGGGAGCAGATGGTGGGAGTTAAGGGCCTTGCTCAAAGGCCCAGAGTGGGGCAAATGAGGGTGGAGGCAGGTGGATGTTTCACCTTTTCCACCCACATTTTGACGTTGTCAGTCCGGGGGAGTTGAACCTGACTTTCCGATCACAGGCCCATCTTCTCTAACCTCTGCGCCACCACTCCAAAATATGTGAGACGTCTCAGTAGCCAAGTGTGACTCGGCTCAGTCAGGCAAATGGAAGGTAACATTAAAATCCGGTGGACATAGGTTTTGATTAATTAAAAGTGATTTATTATTTGACCAGTTAAGTTTTACCAAATAAAAAATAAAAGAGGGTCCTTTAAAATGACTAACTATTAAATGGGAAATGGAGTGTACTTATATAGTGCCCTTCTAATTATCAAGATACTCAAAGTGTGTTACACTACAATCTGTGCCCTCATTTACTCATTCACACAGCACTCTACTAGATCTCTACAAAGACTAATCAGAGATTTATCACATTCATACACTGATGGGACACACATCGAAGGCTATGAGGGGTTCAGTGTCTTGCCCAGGAACACTTCGGTACGTGACTGCTGGTGGAGTCAAACCCCCGACTCGAGGTTCAATTGGAGGACGTTGGCTCTAAACACTCAGACTCAGCTGTCCTATTCCACTTGTTAATTGTTAATTTGTAATCCACAACTGACAATTGTGGATTACAAATACAACTTTTAGCCAAAGCAATTTACCAACTATATAAAAGGTAAATCAAACAATCACGTTTAGGTGGTGTTCTACAAATCTCTATGTAAACAAAATTATACAACCTTGGTCACTAAACTAAATGATGAACATTAACTGATACAAACATTTTAAACAAATGATCACAAGCAAAGCTTTTAGCCTTAAATCAAAATTACTCAAATCAAAAGCAAAACTTTCTACAAATAAGACTTCTGAGCCTGCCTTCAGAAACTTACACAAGCGGTTTGACCATGAACACGAAGACAGACGTCAAAATCAAACGCTTGGCAACAAATGTTTTAGCTAGTCCTGGCAGAATCAATCTAAGAAAAAGCCAAACATTTTACAACGACAAAACACCCATACAATATGATGAGCTGCTCGGCAGGAGAGTTAGGCTTAAAGAGACAAGCCTCTTCTGTGGTTGGAGGAGGAGACAAAGACTCCAACCAAGTTGAAGAGGGAGGTCCACTAGGAGGAGTC